CATGAGAGGGAGCTATCACGTGACCACGATACTATTACAGACACTACTCATTGTGAATAGATATTACCATGAAAGGAGAACAAACAGTATCACTGGTTTTAAATTGTTGATCTTAAAACTTTATCGAATTTCAAAAAAAGCAAATGTATATTGGTTATGTCTATCATGTATTATGTTATGTCTATCATGTACTTTTTACAGTCCCAGTCCTAATAATATTACAGAAAATGTTTCAATTTACTCTATGAAATGCTGTATATCAAACAAGGTAATAAACAATCTATGAATAATATTAGTGTCTATTTGTTATGATGGGCTTACTGTGAACTGATCAGGTTATTTTTTGAAAGAGTTTATTGATCTTTAATAATCAAACTCAAAGAGACTCTTATTAGTTGCAAAAAATTCATGAAATTAAAGGTGGCTGAAAATTTGTAAAAGCTGCAATGACAACAAATATATCAGATGCAAATGGTGCTAAGGAAATTGGAATTTTAGCATCAAAGATATGCCAATTCTTAATGCGTTCCATACATCTCTCCACATGGACTCTTAAGCAAGCTACTTTCTTGTTTATGTCAGCATCTTCTTTAGAAAACTGCTTGCGGCTGTCTAAAAATGATGGGATTAATAACTCAGCACCAACAGAAACCAGGTCATCCTTAATTGACTTTTAAGTCATTATTTTCGTGAAGTGACCTCTTTAGAGAGAATCTCGACTATCGCCGAGCAAAGGTTGGCACATGATGAAAAATCAAAWTCCTTCATATTTTATCTATTGAATCCCTATTATATACTAAGAATCGTGGTGGGGTTTGTTTTTGAAAATTTTATTTTAAACGCGAGAAATTTACAAAAACGTGACCCAAACCGGAAATGGCCAAAATCGACAAAAACATCGCYTGATAATGACTTCTCAAAAACGTCTTATTCGATCAATTTAACACAAATAAAAACACAAACCAAGTTGATAGTCATGTAAAGCAGACAACAACGAGCATCTGGATCCAAATTATGACTTTTTAAGTTCATTTGTTAGTCCAAAGGAAGCAATGGAAAAGTGTAAAATTTCTCCAATAAAAAATTTTAAATTTACCACACTTTTTGAATAGAATTTAGATATTGTGCATTTAAATAAAGGAAAGGTTGATCTTTAAAAGGATATAAAAATTTTTCTTGGGCTTTTTATATTCGCGGAGATATAGGGATCTAAAAATCGTGAAAATCACAACAAAAACATGCCAAAACTCTAGGACCTCTAGACAATCAGCCAGCCAGTCTTTAATTGTCACACGTCAGTGTTAGGCAATGAAATTTTATTACGGATTTCTAAATGAATTCGACATCAAATCATGCTTTGATAGTTGTCCAGAGGAGGGTTGTACGAAGACCTTTATGAGGCACTGTTCAATGGTTCAGCATCTAGACTGCGGCAAGCATCAGTGGGAATTAGAGCGTGAAACACTCTTTGACAAGGCTGCCCTTGCATACGCAGAACAACTAGAAGGCCAAGCAACTTTGCCACCACAAGTCAGCGCAGCGACCACCATTACAAGCAAGAAAGTAAGCAAGCAACCAATGGGCTGGGCGCTTAAAGGTGGGCAAGGAAGAAGCAGATTTTCCGAGAAGCAGAAATCCTATCTAACTGCTAAATTCAAGATTGGAGAAGAAAGTGGGATGAAAGTAGATCCTAACGAGGTAGCTAGATCTATGATGATTGCGAAAGGTCCTGATGACAGCCTACTCTTTTCCAGTAACGATTTTCTTACAGCCAAGCAAATTGCAGGATTCTTTTCAAGGCTTGCTGCAAAGAAATCACTTCCTGAATCCGACCTGATAGCGGATGTCGAAAATGCTGCTCGTGAAGCTGATCTTGAAGC